TGTCCGGTGATCACTTGTCCACCGAAGTCTTGCTTGTTTGTGCCTTCCGATCAACAGAAGACGTTTTACTAGTCGGAGAGAGCGAAATAACCTATTGTTTAAAGTCTGCTGACGGCAGACTATCAAACATGAATATGACGTTCCATCGCCTGTTCGCAATGATGAATGGCACTCCCCAAGCCAGTATAAGTTTACTCTATCTATAGTTTTTTAACGTCTTTCAGACCTTGGATGCTCGTCAACATGTTTTTTGTTTTCACACTGCATTTACAAAGAAATACCAGAATGGCTGACAATGAAACGTTCATGAACGTTCTAGAAGTTTGCCATCTTTCAACAATAGTCAATTTTCGACGTGCTACTTTTAAATACAGTATGGGCATTCTAAACTTTCTTAAGATGTTCCAGTAATACACGTGCACACACTGTATTAGGTGGCGAAACAAACTTATGTTTTGTTAGAGCGTACGGGATTCCCTAGTTTAATCCTGGTTCTCGTTTAGTTTGGTGTATCGCTTGTTGGCATACGTCACCGAACATAAAACGAGACACCGCAAGGAGTATGTCAATGTTTCTTTCTACAAAAGGAAACATTAATTTTCATACTGAAATGGATGGTCTCTTACGTGTGGTTAAGTGAATAGATTGTACTTAATGGCGAGATTTATTCCAACGGGGGACATCTCACATTGATGGGTGTGTGCAGGTAGCATAAGATCAAATCTGGGTTTCCGAATGGCAGAACAGACGACGAAAAAACTCATGATTTCCAACTTACCTGGGCTAATTTTGTAAGCCATTCCACACCTTGGCAGCCATAAAATCTCTTTCAATATGTGGAGTTATTTACCTTTGGAATCCTCAAAGGTTATGTTGTCAAAGATTATAAAACAAGTCTTTTCTTTCAACAAGATGTTGTAAAATAGGTAGTGAAGAGAATTGTAAAATCTCAAAAACCACAAATGCCATACATTTAACACGTGCTACTAAAGAACATAAAGTTTATATCTTATAAAATATACAGGTAGTGAAGAGAATTGTAAAATCTCAAAAACCACAAATGCCATACATTTAATACGTGCTACTAAAGAACATAAAGTTTATATCTTATAAAATATACAGGGAAACAATCTTAAAAAACACGAAGTTCTTGTCCTATTTTGCTGATATTTGCAATGTTTACAAAACAGGAAAAATGGCAATACTTAGATTAAGACAGAATGAAAAACTTCAAAATTGTAAATTTTTCTTTTTTCGTAAGATTGTTCTAGCGTCACTTAAGTCTTTGAAGGATATCGACCTGTAATTGGTTGGATCATCCTTTTTCTTAAAGCCTCCTTTAAGAATCCCGATGATAATTTCTCGGTTCAACGTTTTCGGGATACATCCTGTGATTCGGACGTAGTTCATCAGTTTTTTCAACTAGAGCTTTCAAAAATTACCAAATCATATCCAGGAGCTTTTCTAATATATGACTGATCGTGCTTCGCAATTTCCTCGGCAGTGAATCCGCTATCAGTATGCTCTTTTATTTTAGATTGTAAAATGCAGTCATCAACGATCGTTTCCTCAGTGTATACTTTTTTTTTCATAAAAGTCCGCGAATGTTTCAACTATGCTATGTGCATCACAAACAAGTTGTTTACTATAGACGAGTTCTGTACAAGCATTTTGTTTTTTATATTTTCGTAAAATCCTCCAAAAAAACCGAGTGCCCACATCTGTTGTCTCGCTAAGTTCACTTTATTCATATATTTGTGATGTGTTACTCGATGCATGTTCCGAAAGAGTTTTTTCTCGTTTTTGTAATTCCTGTATATTGTAGTCCGCGAGATCTGTTCTCCGTAACCTAATTTGTCTATACATTAGGGCCGTATTGTGTGAAGTTTCTAAGTCGAAGATCCAGAATGGTTGCAGAGCTTCCCTGAAACGTCGTTTGGGAATAGTTTCTTTTGATACTAATGTTAGAATTAGGACTAAATGTTCGTATGACTAATCAATACAGTGAAGACATGTCAAATCAGTGGATTTTACTTACTTACTTACTTACCTTACTTACTACAGAATTAAATGATCAGCGTTTTCTTTGTTCCACGTGGTGCGATTTGTTGTCTTTCGGTTGTCTTTTTATGATTTCGAACATTTAAAAATTGGAATGTGATCTTATGCGATATCAATATCGACATTATCAGCGATATATTTATAGGAGATATTGCCAAGCGTTTCACCCACAAGAATATAATCCTAAGTAGCGTCACAAGGTCTAAATGTATACCTCTCTTCTTTACATTTTGACAGTTTATTAGATACTGGACACTCAAGTTCAACTCGTTTATAAAGTCGTTCATTGTTTTGGCTTTCCGCTTAGCCACGTAATATTTCAGGTCATTTAGGATACACTTGTTAAAGTGATCCACTAATTCAACTTTCTAAATTTGTAAGCAGAAGGAAGGCATATCACATAGTGTCACCACACTCTTCGACGTCTTAGTCATTTTACATATAAACTCAATTTATAAATGGATTGCTCGGAAACCGCTGTTGTCATTTTGATTGCAACAATACGATTGTTACCTATCGCTTCTAATGCACATATGTTGTAAGGATGTTTTACCGAGACCGCGACACCAGTACCAGTGTTTGAGGAGTCGTCGGTACTTTTGGCGTTAATTGCATAATAATCAGAGCCTACGATATCTAATAAAATTAGCGATTCCTAACACAGCTCTTCTTTAGATATAATGGCAAGATCATATTTTGTTTGCTTTAATAATGTAGACATACACTTGCCTGATGAGAACGTTTGTTCAACAAACCATATTAGTTAATATAACGGAGTTTGTAACACATCGTTTTATTCGGATTTGTAGGGCCTCTAAGAATGTTCTATATCGCAGTCATAATAACAGTATTGATCTGCTGTCATTGTAGAAGTCGGAATCTTTCATATAGGAACTGGTACTTAAGTAATTACCGTGAAGTCTCCTTGTAAATCTTCCTTTTAATCATATTTTATCCTAGTTTTAATGAATATGAGTTTAGATCATTGTTATGTTGACATGTTGGTATTTTTGTTTTGTATTGAAGTGTTTGTTTTCTTGCTATTCCTTTGTAGTGAGTCGTGATCTACTTACTGATTATACACGTGAGCATGGGCTACAGAAAAAAAATTGCCGTAAAAGAACCATTGCGTTGTTTCAATATTCTCTATTCTCAAGTCCATAACTTTCACGTCTTGGTTTTGAAAGGGATTGAGAATATCGTTTTCAGTACTGTCGGATATGATTCCACTCAAATAGAAATCACCAGTAAATACACCAATGTCCAGTCTGGTGTCTTGGTTTGACTTCTCTCTTGATGTATTTTTACTAATGATTTGCTCGACTTTGCAAATTGATCGATCGGTGTCTTTACGTAGCTCACCATTGCCGTATCGCGCAAACGAACTCTTTCTTTATGTCCTCACTGGGACATGGGATCAGACAACACATTCGTGTAGAATTGGTCCTTACTGGCCTCCGTAGTGTCACTCGTGTTTCTTTGTTAACATGTGATAAGATGGTATCAATTTTATTCTTTATTCTAAAAGTCTTAAAACTTCTAAGATTCAACAATAAAATTAAGTGTAAGCATCCTTTTCATCATCATACGTTGGTAAAGCGTTTAACATTGATTGCAAGGTACGCGAGAATTCAATCAAACACGGTCCCGCTAACATTTTGTACATTTGTGCAGCTGTACATTGTGACTCCGCGCAAAACTCTTTCCACACGAAATACAAATTTCACCAGTATGTCTGTTCTTATTTCCTCCATCAGTTTAACATTCGACACTTTCTCACCCGACCATCTTTAAGCGCATTCTTTGCTACTTTCAGATAATTACGTACGGTACCGCTGTTTTCTATTTCAGTGCCAAGATATCTTACAAACCTTTTGATGACTCTGAATTACCACTTTCGCTTTGAGGTGTATCGGATAGCTGACTACATGAAAGTGTCTCGTCGAGAGCCCCTATATTTGTTGTCTTGAATTTACCAAATAAAGATTATCTAGGAATTATCACCAGGAAAAGAATTTGACATAGTTTATATAATTTGGACTTGTAGATGTAGTTTTCCTTGTATTATGCTTACCTTCAGGTCAGTCAGAAATCCTTGCATGACTAAAAACTATTTCTATGCCAAAGCACAATGCTCTCTGATTGCGCATATGTTTATATTATTTTTTTTACATATTGATCTCTTGATAGATTGATAACGTTATTGTATATGTATTCACTGTGTTCTTTATTTTGTGATCAGTTCTGGTCTGTTGGCGGGGATGGAGAATCAATCTGGTGGTTACATTGAACCAAATAGACATGGACATCTTAGTTTGGTGAGACACCTCGGATGAGAGTCACGTGTGACAGTTTCAACTTTTTTTATCTACTTTCAACAGAATTTCCTTAACTATCCACATCTAAGTCTTGCTTCAACACACAAACATTACGTGGCAACATTGCTAACCTCGGATCTGTATAGAAACTAGCTGTTACTCTCAACATTGCTGATCTCAGTTCTACATAGAAACTCTGGCTGTTACTCTCAACATTGCTGATCTCAGTTCTACATAGAAACTCTGGCTATTACTCTCAACATTGCTGATCTCAGTTCTACATAGAAACTCTGGCTGTTACTCTCAACATTGCTGATCTCAGTTCTACATAGAAACTCTGGCTGTTACTCTCAACATTGCTGATCTCAGTTCTACATAGAAACTCTGGCTGTTACTCTCAACATTGCTTATCTCAGTTCTACATAGAAACTCTGGCTGTTACTCTCAACATTGCTGATCTCAGTTCTACATAGAAACTCTGGCTGTTACTCTCAACATTGCTTTTGTAGGACTCAACATTGCTTTTGTAGGACATCAGATGATAGTTTGCACTTGTAAAATATCAATACATGTTTAAAATAATAAAATGGAAATGTGGTCTCAGTTATCTGGATATTTCTCCTACCGCGTCAATTTCATTGCCCGTATAAATCGGTTTGTTGGTAGGATGGTTGATTGGTGGATAGGTCTTGGTGGTAGGTTGATTGGTGGATTGGTCTTGGTGGTAGGTTGATTGGTGGATTGGTCTTGGTGGAAGGTTGGTTGGTGGATTGGTCTTGGTGGTAGGTTGGTTGGTGGATTGGTCTTGGTGGTTGGTTGGTGGATTGGTCTTGGTGGTAGGTTGGTTGGTGGATTGGTCTTGGTAGTAGGTTGATAGATGGATTGGTCTTGGTGGTAGGTTGGTTGGTGGATTGGTCTTGGTGGTAGGTTGATTGGTGGATTGGTCTTGGTGGTTGGTTGGTGGATTGGTCTTGGTGGTAGGTTGGTTGGTGGATTGGTCTTGGTGGTTGGTTGGTGGATTGGTCTTGGTGGTAGGTTGGTTGGTGGATTGGTCTTGGTGGTAGGTTGATAGATGGATTGGTCTTGGTGGTAGGTTGGTTGGTGGATTGGTCTTGGTGGTAGGTTGATTGGTGGATTGGTCTTGGTGGTAGGTTGGTTGGTGGATTGGTCTTGGTGGTAGGTTGGTTGGTGGATTGGTCTTGGTGGTAGGTTGGTTGGTGGATTGGTTGGTTGGTGGATGGGATTGGTCTTGGTGGTAGGTTGGTTGGTGGATTGGTCTTGGTGGTAGGTTGGTTGGTGGATTGGTCTTGGTGGTAGGTTGGTTGGTGGATTGGTCTTGGTGGTAGGTTGGTTGGTGGATTGGTCTTGGTGGTAGGTTGGTTGTGGATTGGTCTTGGTGGTAGGTTGGTTGGTAGATTGGTCTTGGTGGTAGGTTGGTTGGTGGATTGGTCTTGGTGGTAGGTTGGTTGGTGGATTGGTCTTGGTGGTAGGTTGATAGATGGATTGGTCTTGGTGGTAGGTTGGTTGGTGGATTGGTCTTGGTGGTAGGTTGGTTGGTGGATTGGTCTTGGTGGTAGGTTGGTTGGTGGATTGGTCTTGGTGGTAGGTTGGTTGGTGGATTGGTCTTGGTGGTAGGTTGGTTGGTGGATTGGTCTTGGTGGTAGGTTGGTTGGTGGACTGTTCTTGTAGGTAGGTTGGTTGGTGGATTGGTCTTGGTGGTAGGTTGATTGATGGATTGGTCTTGGTGGTAGGTTGATTGATGGATTGGTCTTGGTGGTAGGTTGGTTGGTGGATTGGTCTTGGTGGTAGGTTGGTTGTGGATTGGTCTTGGTGGTTGGTTGGTGGATTGGTCTTGGTGGTAGGTTGGTTGTGGATTGGTCTTGGTGGTAGGTTGGTTGGTGGATTGGTCTTGGTGGTAGGTTGGTTGGTGGACTTGGTCTTGGTGGATAGGTTGGTTAGGTTGATTGGTCTTGGTGGTAGGTTGGTTGGTGGATTGGTCTTGGTTAGGTTGGTTGGTGGATTGGTCTTGGTGGTAGGTTGGTTGGTGGATTGGTCTTGGTGGTAGGTTGGTTGTGGATGGTTGGTGGATTGGTCTTGGTGGTAGGTTGGTTGGTGGATTGGTCTTGGTGGTATGGTGGACTGGTATTGGTCTTGGTGGTTGAGGTTGGTCTTGGTGGAGGTTGGTTGGTGGATTGGTCTTGGTGGTAGGTTGATTGGTGGATTGGTCTTGGTGGTAGGTTGGTTGGTGGATTGGTCTTGGTGGTAGGTTGGTTGGTGGATTGGTCTTGGTGGTAGGTTGGTTGGTGGATTGGTCTTGGTGGTAGGTTGGTTGGTGGATTGGTCTTAGTGGTAGGTTGGTTGGTGGATTGGTCTTGGTAGTAGGTTGGTTGGTGGATTGGTCTTGGTGGTTGGTTGGTTGGTTGGTAGATTGGTTGGGTTGTTGATTTGGCTTGGCTATTGGTTGGTTGGTAAGTGACTGGTTTGTTTGTTGGTTGGTTGGTAGGAATTTTGTTGGGTTGCTTGGTTGGGCTTACTTGGTTGGTAGGTTACAGGATTCCCGTCGCCTAGATCTTCCGATTTTAAGCTGTTGTCTGGTCGACGAACATAGCGTTTTGTTGACATGTCAATGACTCCCGAAAGATGGCGTCAGTTCATAAGCAGCCTATTTTGAGAATGGAGGGCACCAGTTTGTGTTCATACTCAGACCATTTATTCATATATCAAAAAGCATGTTGCAATACAAATAAATAATGACATCCATTTTAAATCACTCGTTGTATTTTCTTAAAAACACGATCTATAAAACACGATCGTTGAAAAGCTTTCCAATACTGACTCCCGTTAGCGTTAACAAATGTGGCGACTGGAATTTGTAGATGGCATGGATTGGAATTTAATTAAATGAAAAATAAATCTGCAAGTAAACTTTGTACAACTGGTTAGGCCATTAACATAAAAAATGGGTTATTATATAAATACTTATCTAATTATTTGTGTATAAGTTAGTTACCTTTAACGCGTTCTGTCAGCGGAGCGAAGACTCATCAGTGTACAAGGGGGCATAACTCGTGTAGAACTACAGGAAAAAAAGTCAAAACAAAAACATCACCATCTAACGCGTTTGGCTAAATATTGGTAAAGCAGGTAACTGTAGCTTGATGGTGAAATATTTCACGTGATATTGCGATTATATATTGTGATCCAATTTACCTGTACCTGTTTTTGCACGACGCCAGAACACTGATATTTGTCAACGTAACAACGCCTGGAAACGAGTCACAGTGACGGAAAATCTGTAACTAACCAACCAATCAACCTTTGGTTCATCCGCTGAAAGATCGAAAGGACGTAACACTGGTGGTACGTACAGCGACTCTCATCGTACACCGGATATAGCTATTGACAGGAGGTAGGAAAATCATGGTTTCCATTAATCTAACATAACACTGATGGTCAAAATCTGGTCTCGTTGTTTTAAGAAGACCTACGTTTACAATGGAAAATTAACTAAGAAATCTGAATGTGTCATTATAAAATCATTTAACAAAACATGTGGAGCTATCCTGGAGGTGAACCTTTAAAGGAGATGATGAAATCGAAATGGTTTCATGTCATGCCAAACCTATTACCGACATGTACAACTGCCTTATCATTGTTACCAAACCGATATAACATTAATTCTTTGAAAGTGGATACCGTTTCATTGGCATAATTGTATGGGCATGTGAACGGTTTTTAGCCGTTTGGAAATTCTGTGGGTACGGATTATAGCATATGTATACAGAAATGATAAGCTTTGATCACAGATATTTAAAAAATAAATTTTGTTCTGTGTGTGTGTTTTTTTTAAAGCTGTTATGGATGTATGTTGGTGGAAAGATTTGCATGCTGCCAGTGTCAATATCGCAAGGGGGACATGCGGAATCATAAACATGTCGGCGTGTACAAAAAGCCGCACATTCATCACTGCGTTTAATTCTACATGACGTTTCAGTATTGCACATGCATAAAATTGGCACTCTCACAGGAAATGTGTTTTCTTCATAATAGTTTTCATTTTTCTACAGTAAAAGGTTTGAATCAATTTTCATTTAAACTGTATGTTAACAAGAAAAAAGCTTTCTTCATTTTTCGACGGCGTTTTCTTATAACTTAAATATTAATTTTATTGTGAAGTTTATGCACATGTAACACCTGCCCGAACAGTAAACAGCATTATCTGTAACAGTATTAATTATGACATAGCGCAGAGTCCAGAGAATTGTGACACAGATAGGATGAGATGCCGATTTTTGCCGTATACATATTGTACGATACCAAAGGGTCTCGCGGGATCATTATCATACTGAAACTTTTTAAAGTTTGGATATGAAACATCACAAATTGAGCTATTTACATAAAATCCATGTAACGTAATTATAATGATTTGTTACCATCAACATGTCGCATTGATTTTATCTTCCCCAACGCGTGCCCAAAATTCTATGAAATGTTTGACCTTAGGGTCTTGGGTAGCAGTACACAGTTTCTCGGTGTGGCCGTGGGTGATAGTTTTGTTCATTAGATTACACCATTATAAAGGTTTTAATTAAAATTCAAAAAATAAATCCTTGTTAAAATTTGTCTTGTCATGTTGAAGTGGACAATGTGTGGTTTCAATTTGTCATAATAATATTTTTGATTTTTGTTGGAGATTACGATTTTGACAGTCTCGAATCTGTGTCTACCATTGTAGCATTGTAACCATGGCAATCACATGTCATTTTTTTCTTTCTACTATTAATGTAATTGTTGTGAAGTTTATAAGTATACATACATGCAAGAATGTATTTTTCATAACCAAACTGTTATACCTGTATATCTCAAACATGACCAATAACTTCAGGAAAAATGCTAATCAGCTGTTTCCTGCTACCTTGGCAAGAATTACGGTACATAAATATAGACCATGGCTTGGGAATTCCAACGACAAGCACCTGTGGTTTTGACTGCCTTTTCTTAGTCACTAGTCCTGTTGTTTTACGAGACATATAAAGGATAGTCAATCTGAAACATAAGAAACGTAAGTATCAATTAAATGTAGATGCGTAGACAAACAGTTTAAACATTTCATTATAAGCCGTACTTTTTCATACGAATTTCAGCTAGTATCCGTATACTTCACAAACCATAAGCCATACACATATGTCAGTTTTTAAGACTAATTACTCACATATGTCACATGGTCTTGTGAATAGATATTGTAGGTTTGTATGCCAGAGTCACGTTGTGGGATGGGTAGATATCGTGGATTGGTTTACCCGTGTCACGTGGTGTAGGGGAGATAAGTCACATAGTATAACGGGTAAAAATCATACGTTATGTGATTGTTGATAGAATTTTGGTATGCTCTTAGCTAAATTTGTATAAACCATGTATGTCTGTTATTGTTGTAATATCTGACTTAAATATGGTTAGGTCCAAGAATTCTCAATGATTAACTGTTATGATGTTCTATTTTTTTTTATTTATGAATCTTGATCTCTACACATAAAACAAACACACCGTCACAGTTGTGTTAACCTATATCGGTGATGTAAAAGTATTTACGAGGTTGTTAATGACTCAGAACATTGGGCCAACCTTTTTAAGGCATGTGCTACGAACCTTGCTATGGTTTATATTCATCCGAATAAACTAATTTGGTTAAATGACTTCCTAATTAACTATCTGTCGTAATTCGTGTTAAATATACAAGGAAGGATAGGTAACATGCACGTGACTAGTGAGTCATATAGAAACATTTTCCTGTTGGTAATGTTACTACTCATATATGTTCTCATTTCGCGAAGATGAAATAAAGAGAAAGGCCATCTTAACGTCCATGAAGGATATCTCCAACCCGTTGTTTAACGATAGGTAATCGAACATCTGTACTATGATTCGTAATATTATTCGATTTAAAGTATCATATTTACGTCACATACAATAATCTTGACTGCGACGAAAAAAAACTAGCTTAATAATGCAAGTTGACCGAGTTTTTTGAAATTTGAATATCGGAGTCATCATCTCGGGAAAACGCTGGCATGTCATTATTCTTGTGTTTGCTAATTGGCAACGTAATTAAAAAAAAAATACATGTCATCATCTGGTATTTTACATTATACTTCAAACAACAGTGTGTTCTGTATTTCAGTTCCCATTCATGGACGTAACGTAGTCTTTTTATTTAATTTTTTACTTACAAGTTATCAAATCAGTATCTATGTGAAATATCATATACCCAAATGTGTCAGTACGGCACGAACTTGAAAGTTCTAGTTAAACTGATACATGACATTGAAGAGGTATACCTCTCATATCATTTCAGCTTATGGTAGATATAGGTTGATCGTTCATGACTTATAAACAAAGTTAAATGACATGGTCCAGTTCAATATTCCCTCCATAAAAGATGAACGTTAATTGTCTAAGGGCCGCAACTCTGGCAAAAGTAAATTGATCGAACAAATGTTGAACCTGGCCAAAACCACCTTATTAGACAACCGCATAAAATGTATAAAATTTTAGTACAATATCCCAATCCAGTTCTGAGGAATCGAACGGGAACTAATTATCAATTCAATTTTTTAGATTTATTTTTCTAAAAGACGACCAAGGTAAACGAATATTACACAGACATTTCGTGGCGAGGACATGGACACATTTGAGCACATATGCTCTCCGCCATTGTACTATACATCTTTATTTGTTTTTATCAATATGTATATTATTGTATGCCTATATGCAGTGTGCATTTGGTAATAAAATTGAATTGAGCACGACATCGCAAACAATACAAAACACCTCGAAATTTCACTTAGAACAAGAATGAGTGTGATGGAATGAAGTCAAACGAGTACAAACAACGATTTCTGAAAGTAGAAACGACGATCTGATCTCAAATGCTGAAGCTCAAACTCGTTCGAACTGTGTCAAAGTTTGCTGAAAATCTCTCAAGAAAAATGATAACAGTGACCGTGACTTTTCCCTACGCTGAAACTCGAACTTGCCCGTCATAGTATGTTCCCTTACCCTGGAAAGATAAATCCATGTTTTTTACGGTATTGCTTTCTTAACATCAGAGAGAGATATTCCCAAATAATACCCCATTCTAAATTTTTCTATCTCGCGCGATATGTCTAGTATCCGTTTTCGCGTATTGTTTAACGCATCGCTGTATTCATCCGCGTGTAAGCGTAGGTGGCACCTTCACTCGCGCATTTTAATAAAAACGTAGGTTATGTCGTTGTTAAAAAAATAACAATATTCTATTTAATTAATCACATTTTAAATTGAAATAGAAAATCTTCTCTGTAAAATGTGTTGTATTTTTTGTAAGGGTGGCTTACATTGTTTACGCGGCACTATCCAGACGTTGTTATAAAGTGAAGAGGTTGTGTGGGTAGTTTGAGGCTCCCACGGGATACGCCGAAATCTGATGAAATATTGAATTATTTTCAGAGTAGTTGTGCAAGAAAAATCTATTACCTGTAACTGAGTGAGATCGGGGTATCTCAGTGTCGGGATAAGGTCCTGTGACATCCTGAGTTAGCCTCGGTTGGGATTATGTTACAGGATCTTAGCCCTCGACTGAGATA